ATGGCCAAAGAGATTTATAGAACAAACGATGTCATATTTGCTTCAAGACCCTCTCATCGTGTCACATTCAAGATTTTTTCCTACAATCATAACGATATTATCTTTTCTCCCTATGGAAATTATTGGAGGCAACTTCGGAAGATTTGCACCATGGAAGTTCTTAGTCCAAAACGGGTGCAAACTTTCAAAGCAATTAGGGAAGATGAAGTTTTTGATCTCATCAAATCGATCTCTTTGCAAAAGGGATCGAGTATCAATCTAAGCAGAAGGATTTTCTCTCTCACTTATAGCATCACAAGCCTGGCAGCCTTTGGGAAAAGAAACAAAGACATAGAAAGATTCTTGCACTTTGTCGATGAACTCAATGGGCTGGCATCTTTGTTCTGCTTAGCAGACATGTATCCTTCAGTCAAGTTTCTTCAATTGACAAGTACAGTTAGGTCAAGTTATGAGAAAATACACAAGCAAGTAGACGAAATACTTGAAAATATTCTCGAGGAGCATAAAGGGAAAATCCAAGAATCAAAACAGGAAGGTGAAGAAGGCAAGGAGGATCTTGTCGATGTTCTTCTCAATATTCAGAAACGTGGTGACTTCGAGCCTCAACTAACTGATACAAACATCAAAGCTGTTATCCTGGTAAGCGAAACTCAAACTCGCTAGGTTTTTAAGCTTTGCACCTTGACAAAATTTTGTAATTGTTTCTAGGATTAAAGGGACAAAACGTGTATATTATTGATTTATCTGTTCAATTTTGGGGATGGTGATGATTTGGGATCTGATAACCTTTTAGCGAGTTGAGACACCCTTTAATAAACAAATTTTGACAGTATTAGTTTCAAGTTTGAACCTCTTCCCTAGGATTGAACATGAGACTTAACAGTGGCGGGTTATGTGAACAAAATTATGATTTTCTTAGCTAGCCGACAAATTGGTCCTATTTCTTGGTACTAAATTTAGTTCTGTTATGATAGAATGATTGTTATACAGATTAGCAGCAGTCTCAAAGTTGAATTCTATTCAATTCAAATCAGTTCATGTAATAATTATGCCTTTTGGTATAAACGTATATATACAACTTGGATGTAAATTTAACCTTATCAGCTCATACGACTAAGTTGGCTATCAGACCAAATATATGGTCTGTAATTACGCTCGATTTTGGTGCAAGAGAACATCCGAGATTTCTTCTTTTTTTTTTTTCCAAATTAAGCAATTCAAAATAATCCAACGCCACTTAATTTGAAGTTATTTTGGTCAAACATCAGACGATGAATTAATTTAGATATCTGAAAGAAAAAACAAGTATAATTTTCATTGATATACGTTCCTATTCATGTTTCAGGATGTTTTCAGTGCTGGCAGTGAGACTACATCAACAGCCATCGAGTGGGCAATTTCTGAAATGGTTAAAAACCCAGAAATAATAAACAGGGCACAATGTGAGGTAAGAAGTTTATATAATGACAAAGGAATTGTTGATGAATCACGCCTTCATGAGCTCGAATATTTGCACGCAATCATCAAAGAGACCTTGAGACTACATCCAAATGCTCCACTTTTGTTGCCAAGAGAATGCACTGAAGAATGCAGAATCAATGGTTATGACATACCAGCCAAGGCACAAGTAATTGTGAATGCATGGGCAATTGGTAGAGATCCATTATACTGGAGTGAAGCTGAGAAATTCAATCCTTCGCGATTTCTTGATTCTAAAATTGATTATAAAAGCAATAACTTTGAATACATCCCATTTGGTGCTGGAAGAAGGATTTGTCCAGGCATATCATTTTCTCAAGCGGTAGTTCAGCTGGTACTTGCACAACTGTTGTTCCACTTTGATTGGAAGCTCCCTGGTGACCTGAAACCAGAAGAACTAGACATGGCTGATAACCTTGGCGTGACAATTAGGAGAAAAAATGATCTCCACTTGATTCCAATTCCTTATCTTGGTTCTTGTTTAATAAAGGATGACTAGGCTTTACAGGGATGCCTAAATTATGCTAATACTTGTCATCCCGTCTATGATACTACTTTATAATTTTACCTTGATTATGTACCTAAAATAAAGATTTTATGAACTTTATTACTTTCTGTACTCTAAAATCTGCCATGCACCTGCCTCACTTCACAGTGCTTGCCAACGGAGCCGGATCTTCTGTCCTACACCCTATGCCATTTTCTGTCCCACTTTTTATTATATTGCAATTTCTCCTACGTAAATATCATGTTTTAGTTCTTTTTTGTTTCTTTAAGATCCAATAACTATTTACTGAGTATTACAAAAAAATTAACAAACTCAAAAAATCAAAATTGATATAAAATGAGATTTTTTATGAATTTTGCTGTATTTTTTAATTTTCTACTATATATATATTGCTTTTTTGAAGCTGTTGTATTTATTTAACCAAACTAGTGCTAGTTGATGAGAGTTACTTCGGAAACAAAAAAAGTAAAGTCAAAAAAATTTGAAGTATTCTCTCAATTCTAATAAAATGTAATCGGATCAAGTATGAGTTTGCAATCAGAGCATATATGGATAAAACTTATAAAGGGGTCTCGAAAAATAAGTAATTTTTGTTGGGCCTTTATCCTTTTTGTAGGTTCAGTAGGATTCTTATTGGTTGGAATTTCCAGTTATCTTGGTGGAAATTTGATATCTTTTTTTCCGTCTCAACAAATCGTTTTTTTTTTTCCACAAGGGATCGTCATGTCTTTCTACGGAATCGCAGGTCTCTTTATTAGCTCCTATTTGTGGTGAACAATTTCCTGGAATGTAGGCAATGATTATGATCGATTCGATAGAAAGGAAGGCATAGTGTGTATTTTTCGTTGAGGATTTCCTGGAAAAAATCGTCGCATATTCCTCCAATTCCTTATAAAAGATATTCAGTCCATTCGAATAGAAGTTAAAGAGGGTATTTTTGCACGCCGTGTCCTTTATATGGAAATTCGAGGCCAGGGGACCATTCCCTTAACTCGTACCGATGAAAATTTGACTCCACGAGAAATTGAACAAAAGGCTGCTGAATTGGCCTATTTCTTGCGTGTATCAATTGACGTATTTTGAGAAATGCGTGGAAAAATAGATGCTTTTTCAACAAGAGGGAAAAATGCAAGAATCTTTTTTCCTATAACATAACTTAAGTGTGAAGTCCCGTTGTAAGAATGGCATAGGGTGTGGGACAGAAGATCCGTTGCGGTGATGTTTGGCATACTCCATGAACTTTACTAAGACATTACTGTTCTGTTAGTGATACTTTTAATCTCAGTTTTTCCTTTTTTTTATGTGTGCAATTTATTTACAGAAAAAGAAACGTAAATCGGATCACATCTGCCATCGTATAAGTTACATCTCTCATTTTGTTTCTTATGCAGAAAAGTGGTATTTCCTTTTAGACCGATCAAAGAATGACGATTTATGGCCTCCATTCTTAGTTTCCAGCCTTTTCTTGAAGAAGACAGATATTCTTTGCAAAGATATCCTTGACTGAAACAGGTTGATGAAATGCATTAGAGAGAGAGAGAACAAACAGATTGAGCAGTGGAAAAAAACTCAAAAGAGACAGAGTAGGCGAGGAGAGAAACAATGGAGTGACACGAACATCAAAGAATTTTGGTGCCTGAATTTACGTAAGAAGGAAAAAAGAGTTTTCGGCCTGAACATTTGTCACGCTTCTCTACTCCCAAAATATCATCTGATTATTGAGCATGAATTAATTTAATTGTCGCCATTGTTTCCTAGTTTATAAAAAGGCCCTCCTAAACCAATAAAACCATAAAAAGATCTGGTTAGAGTACCGATTGTCACCGTTGTCATTTGGTTCTTTAGTCTTTGTCAATTGTCAATTGTCAATTCTTTAGAGTACTGATTGTCAATTTTCAATCTTTTCAGATTCGTTTGCCAGATTTGAAATTTCTAATTCTAGTTTGTCAAATCTCAATTTGATATATGAGTTTGAAGCAATTTAACAGGAGATGTGAAAGGAGAAGGCATGGATAATGAGACTGCTTCAGATTTTTGTTAATGTTCATCGTGCCTAATTTGTGCGGGGGTAAGTTGGATCCACGGTCAGGAAGGTACGAAGCCACCTTGATGTGAGAGTGGGTTAATCAACTTTGCAAAAAGTCACAAAATGGGCTTGAAAATTTTGTAAAAATTTAGATCTTGTCTCCCCTCAATTTTCAAAAGTATCCTTATCTCTTGATATTAACCTCTTATAATTTGAAAACTAGTCACCTCTAAACAACTAATTTCTTTCTTTGAAATATCCCTTCTGTGGTCCAATCGTTTCAAAACTATTACTAATTGAGATATATTTAGTTACTACTTGAATAAGAAAAAATTATAGGAAGTAGAACAAAAATCTAAAAAAGAATTTTTTTAAATTTGATTTTAAGTATACAATCTTGTCCAATTCCTTTCGCACTGACACTTGGTCCTGACTCCACCGTTGAATGCGGCACTACGCTTCTAGACTCCCATGATGCAGTACTAAATACAGCAAATAAAATGCTACATTATCTTTTTATCTCACATATATCACATTTAAAAAGTATTATAGTATTTTTTTAAAAAAAATTATCCCAAATAATCTCCTACCCAAACACACTCTAGAGTTTTGCAAGGTGAGGTCGCACGATTAGAAAATTTTGGTGGGGTTTTAAAGAGGTATGGAGTAGCTGTAGGGGAGACGCGACCACAAACGACGGAATCATAGGCCATTTTCTATTAGACACTACCTCTTCATTAGTTTTCTTGTATTCTTTCTTTTTTTTCACTTATTTTTAGAATCGACAGATGAACTAATCTATTCGATACTCGAATTGAGTTCGATTTGATAAGAATTCGTTCATGTATAATCCATTAACTAGTCAAGCCAAATTTAAATAGTATTTTATGTTCGATAAATCATAAAATTTTCTTGAAAATAGGACAAATCGATTAAAGTAATGGGGTATGGTTTTATTATTATTATTTTTTAGCAAACCCCCATATATGGAGTAGAATGTCAGTCCAAATTTTATTAAACACCAAAGAAAGGTACAAGCATGAGTAGGGCTAGGCCTGACCTCATCAGAATGCAACAAATAATAATAATAAAATAAAAATAAAAATAAATAAGGAGCAGTGCTCCTTTACATTATATGCCCTAGTAAAAGGTACCTGCAAACTATCTAGAAACGAAGCTGCCTTTACAGCCAGCGGCAGCTCAAAAACTGAAGAAAAAAATTGTACGTAAATCAAGCGCTGCAAGTTTATCAGAAGCAGAGTTTGCCTCGCAAAAAACAAGAACAATAGATGCCTTGCCTGCAGAAAGGAATCTCCTCACCCATAGAAGATTACATAATACCCACGTTGCCAACGCATCGGAATTTGTCAATAAAATCAAAACCTGTTAGGTCGTGTCCCAGAAAATCGATAAACGAGAATAATAGGGGTTATTGGCAATTCAATAATAACAATAATAGAACAAATAAATCAAACAGAGAAAAATATCAAATTTATGTGATTCGATCAAACTGATCTACGTGTCCACGGGTGAAGGAGTAGTAGATTTACTATAATAAGAAAAAAAGTACAAAGGAGAGAATACAAGAACCAAAAAATAATTTCTAAACTCAAAAGGCACTTAAAACTAAAAACACAAAAGATTCTAAATAGCACTAAATACTTAATGACCCAAAAACTCATGACTTGCTCTTTTGATTTGATGTCTAACCAAAACTCCTCTCTTATTCTGGGGTGTGGGCTCCCTAAAACTCTCTTAAACTGGTCTATATGACACTTGGGTTAGTGTCTTTAACACACTTAAACTAAGTTAAATCCACTTAAATTATTGGAGAAACACAACCCGGAAATAAAATATGAATAACCGTGATGAGTGACCCTCCACGGCTCCACCCTCCATGCCCTCTTTATTTAAGAACCTTTTGCTTGGATATCACATCCGCTGAAATCAGATCTGTAATTTGCTTGGTCTTGGTTTTTTAATCCCCTTGGATACACCAATTCGCATATCAAGTTTCCAGGCAAATTGTTAATTAACTCCTTTGCACCATAAAAGATGGAAAGAATATAATAGGCTGGCTTCTTGACGGTCCTAAAGATGAAATGACACGTGGACATTTCCATTGTTAAATCACCAAATTAAGGAGGTGCACTAGAGACAAAGAGCTATTGAATGTTGACCAGTTCATATATGCTCTTGAAATTATAAATGCCAAATTTTTTTTCTTCTAATAGAATTACAAGCAAACTAAAACAAACTAATTACAACTCGACAATAATACTACCTTGAAGAAGTGGAAGGAGAAGAGGACATGTACCTTGAAGAAACAACTCTTGATTTAGGCCTTTTTGGGTTGTCAATACCATTATTATCCTTCTCAGAAGGCAGCAGTGGAGGTCTTCTTTGGTGAGTTTGAGTCTCATCTCGAGAAATTGTTTTGGGGTTTTGTGGGCCAGTTGTTGAAGCTGCTCCTCCTCCACCAGAAACAGCAGCCACCATCATCACACACAAACATATACACACAGTTCAGACACCAGATACTCAAACTTTCACCCTTCACATTGTCTTTTCACACCAAAATGTGACTTATCGACAAGCCTATTTTGCTTCTCCATGGCACAAAAACCCTGTAAGAAGATCACGAAATCCCAGCATAACTCAAAATCCCACAATGGGTTTTTGCAAGATGCCACATTTTCTCAAGATTTCTGCAGAGATGAGCTGATACAATGCAGGTTCTTTTGCTAATCTAGACCAAGAAAGCTATGGAAAATGAAAAAAAGGGGTAATTTTTCCAGCAAACACAGTGACGTTTCTTGGAGTGAGACAGAGAGAGAGAGAGGGGTAGAAGGAGAGTTGGTGAAAGGTGAGATTTGGGGGCATGGAAACTTGGTACTACAATGGTAAGGAGGAGTGAGGAGGGGCGGGTTGTGGGTGGGGTGGGCTATTTCGTGGCGGTTTTGGGTTTTGTGAGCCTTTGGAGAGACGTTACGCTAACCCAAGGCAAATTATGCTTATTCAACAGAGGATTTTTCTAATGACGAGTGAATTTCACTTTTATTATTTAAACGAAATGAGTTTCTATTTTATTGTTTAAGATAGGGTACACGAGTATTTTAACCACGCATGACTGCTTCTTTTTTTTTATATATATAAATTTTTGGGGTCTATTTTGTGTGCTTTTGTAGGTGCAGATAGGGAATACTCAACTAAATACGTGGTGCAGATAGCTTCATCAGCATCTATAAAAATCAATATTATGCTTCAGTAAGCAAATAACACCCAAGTTCCACATTTCTGGCTTCAGTCTTCAATGGAGGTTGTCCTTTTCCTCATTGCCTTCCTTCTTTTCTATTTCATGGCAGTCAAAATTCTCAAAAGGCCCTCAGAGAAAAACTCAAGATTAAGGCTTCCCCCAGGGCCTAACCCACTGCCTATCATAGGAAACATTCATCAACTCTTTGGTTCCCAGATCCATCACTTGCTCAGAGACTTGGCCAATATTTATGGACCATTGATGCACCTAAAGATTGGTGAAACTCCAACCATCATCGTCACTTCCCCAGAACTGGCCAAGGAGATCTATAAAACAAACGACATCATCTTTGCCTCGAGACCCTCTCATGGTCTCCTATTCAAGATTTTTTCTTTTAATTATGCTGATTTGATCTTTTCTCCCTACGGAAAATATTGGAGAGAATTACGCAAAATCTGCACCATGGAACTTCTCAGTCCAAAACGCGTGCAAACTTTCAAAGCAATTAGAGAAGATGAAGTCTTCAGTCTCATTAAATCGATTTCTTCTCAGAAGGGGTCGACTATCAATCTAAGCAGAACCGTTGCCTCTCTCAGTTACAGCATCACGAGCCGCGCAGCATTTGGGAAAAGGAACAAAGACACAGAAAGATTCAAAGAAACTCAGGATGAACTCAATAAACTGTCATCAGAGTTCAGTTTAGCTGACATGTTTCCTTCAGTCAAGTTGCTTGAGTTGATGAGCATATCTAGACTTAGGATTGAGAAAGTACACAGGCAAGTTAATGGAATACTTGAAAGTATTATCAATGAGCATAAAGGGAAAATGCAAGAGTCGGCAAAACAGGAAGGCGGAGAAGGCAAGGAGGATGATCTTGTTGATGTTCTTCTCAAAATTCAGAAACGTGGGGACTTTGAACCTCAGCTAACTGATACAAACGTCAGAGCAGTTATCCTTGTAAGTAAAACTCACTACTATTCTTTTAAGCTTTGCAACTCAGACAGAAAAAAAAAAATCTGTAATTAGGATTCAATTAACCTCAACTAACTGCATCTAGTTTTGTTTACTTTTTGTTGATTGCGAATTGTAATGAGTTGAGATCTAGTAATTAGTATAACCAAATTTTGACAGCACTCGTTTGAAGTTTGAACGTTTTTCCTAAAATAGAACATGAGACTTAGTGGTAGCCAGTTTCGTAAACTAATTATTACTCCTTAACTAGCTGACAAATTAATGAACAATCCAGAAAAGGAAAAGAAAGGGGAAAAAAACATCAAAGTGGGCTTCTGACTTTGCTAAAGAAACTAATCAGCACCAAATGATTTCACAAAGTAGTAAGCTTGGGTTGCGTTTAATAAAACTGAAATCTAAATTTATTAAGTTAGTGAATTGTTAAATACTAAATTTGATACATTTGAGTATATATCACATTAAGTGATAAGTGAACAGTTTATTACTTATTTTTTGGAGCAAATTTTGCTTAGAAAATTCATTGCTATTTAATGAAATCAGATATTCTAGTTTGGTTATCAAAATATATTAAAATCTGAACTTATTGAATTTAAGTATTGAATTAAATTATTAAATAGGGTTTTAAAATTGTTGGGATAGGCCTATATCCAACGCGAGCCTGTGAGTATCCTAAAACTATATGGTCAATTATGAGTAAACAATATACTATTAATACAGGATTTAACAAGACTCAAATGGCCCCATTTTACGATAAACTAATTGTTTGTGCCCTAACCAAACTATTGAAAGGAAAATCCGGAATCAAACCCCAATTCATGCCAAACAGGCAAACGAAAAGAGACAAAAAGTTCAACCCCATTGACTTTTACCTCTCAGTATAAAAATCATTCTGTCGTTTACCCTTTTTTGGCTTTTCGTAAGAGTAAAATATTCATATATTGCTTTCAATTTATTTGAGTCAAGCAGCAGATGATCAATTAACCGAGAGATTTGAAAGTAGAAGTTGTAAACTTCATGGATATGCGTCTCTCTGTATGTTTCAGGATATTTTCAGTGCTGGCAGCGAGACTTCATCAACAGCCATGGAGTGGGCAATTGGTGAAATGATTAAAAATCCGGAAATTATGAAAAGGGCACAACATGAGGTGAGAAGTATATACAATGACAAAGGGAATGTTGATGAATCACGCCTTCATGAGCTCAAATACTTGCATGCAATCATTAAAGAAACTCTGAGGCTTCACCCAAGTGCTCCACTATTGTTGCCAAGAGAATGTGGTCAGCAATGCGAAATCAATGGTTATGACATACCAGCCAAGGCAGACATAATCGTTAATGCATGGGCAATCGGAAGAGATCCCAAATATTGGATTGAAGCAGAGAAATTTAATCCTTCGCGATTTCTTGATTCGGAAATTGATTACAGAGGGAATAATTTTGAGTACATCCCATTTGGCGCTGGAAGAAGGATTTGTCCCGGCATATCATTTTCTCAAGCAGTGATCGAGTTGGCACTTGCACAGTTGTTGTTCCATTTTGATTGGAAGCTCCCTGGTGAACTTAAGCCAGAAGAATTTGACATGACTGAGAACCTTGGTGTGACAATCAGACCAAAAATTGATATCCATTTGATTCCAATTGCTTACGGTGGATCTTGTTTGAGAAAGGATAATTAAACTGTCATTTCTAGTGCCAGTTTAACTTGATATTAGAGCAGTGATGCAATCAAATTGTGCTGGTTGTTTTTATTTGCATGATATTTCCCCTACTATTATTCCCTTCCCTCTATATGTTTGTATCATATCATTTATACTTGCATTTCGCATAGATCATTTAGTCCATTTGTTTGTTTAGATTAGGAGAGTCATCCTTCGAATATAGAAAATGAACGAATATGACTTTTTAACATTACCACGTTATTACCCCTCTATAAAAAAAAAATTAAGCCACGAATCTTAAAATTGGAGCTCGTCTTTGACTTGTCACGCATCATGGTAGGGTCAAGCTTGAGATTCTTCACTATTTTTTCTATATTTTTGCCAATTTAGTCAATTCTATTCCAACTAGTCACAATTCGAACACAATAGGGGAAAAAAAATCAAATCTTGCACTTGAATACTTTGATCCGTCACTTTTTGGAAAAAAAATTTCCAGTCCGTCAACTTGGGCCTAAGCACCGTGTTCACATAAAACCAGACAACTCTTATACGCACCATTGTGCACAAAAAAAAAAAATGCATGTAAGGGTATTTCTGATAGAAAAGGCATCGCTACTTCACTAAATTGTACTATATTGTTTGAAGAGTTTTGCAAAATGAATAAATGAATAAATTATTTAGTTGATTTTAGTAAAGTAGGGAAGGAATTTGACTTAAAAGGTTCCCCATTCGATCGAATCTCCACATTCGCACTCCAATATAATTTATCAATAAATAAAAGTGTCAAGTATTGGAACATATAACCTCAAAGGAATTACTGAGCTAGCTACTATCAAATTAAAACCATAACAACGAAGCACAAGAAATGTTGATGAGGAAATTGACCCTAATACATGTGCAATCCTATAGAACAAGTTAAAATTACATATAGTAATTCCTCAATAATTAATTGGTTGTATAGAAGCATGAATAAAATTACTAGGTTCGAATGGCAAATTAATCAAATCAAACTCAAAACTAATCTCACGTTACCTCATGATCATGAATGCCCTTGTTGAATTTCATTGTATATTCTCAGCTCAATTGCAGTTAATTATCAATATATACAAAAAAAAAAGTATTTTTTAAAATTTCATTTTAAGTGTACAATCTTATCCAATTTTGTTCTCATTGAGACTCGGTCCTAACTCCACCACTAAATGTCTAGACTTAGGCCTGTCAACGAGTTGAGTTTGGGTTGGAATTAAAAATTCTGGACCGGACCGATTTTAATATACTAGACTCAGACCCAATCCATATACCATACATGTCTTGTGCTTAAAATTTTGGAACCGGATTTGATGGGTCTCGGGTCGGGCCTGTGTCACCAGGAAAGAAAAAGGCCCAATATGTATCATTCATCTTCTTCTATCCATGTTAGCAAAAAGGCCCAACATGATCCCAGGATGTTTAGCAAAAAGCACTTATATGCAACTGTGATGAATGCATTTCTGGTTAAACAAGTTTGTATCTTTCAAATCCTAATTTCTTAGATGCTTCATCTGGGATACGGGTAATTTGATTAATTTGGTAAAATAATATTTTTTGTTAATTTAGTAAAAGAATGTATTTAGAAATATTTATATTTTATAATTATTAATGTATTGTTCAAGTCTGGGTCGGATACGGGTCGAAATCCTATATTCCGTATCTGACCTGCTTCTTTGTTAGCGTAAACGGGTACGGGTCCGAGTTTGAGTGCCGAAATTATTTCTCAACCCATACGCAGAATAAATTACTGGATCTGGGCCGAGTGTGGATCCAAACCCGATCCGTTGACAACCTTATCTAGACTCCTATGATTTAGTACTAAATACTAAGTAAATAAAAAGCTACTCAATTATAGTTTTACAAGGTGAAGTAAGTTCCGCGATTGGAAAATTTTGGTGGGGTTTTTAAGAGGTATAGGGCACTTATAGGGGCAACACGACCACAAATCACAGAATCATAGGCTGTTTTCTAATACACAACACCCCTTCATTAGTTTTCCTGTATACTTTCGTTTTTTTTAACTTATTTTTAGACTAAAACATGAACCAATCTATTAGATATTCGAATTGAATTGAACTTGATAAAAGCTCGTTCAAGCATGATTCACTAATTACTTAATTCAAATTTAAATAGTATTTTATGTTCGATAAATCACAAAATTTTCTCAAAAAACAAGACAAATCGATTAAAGTAATGAAGGTATGCTTGATCAGTCGACAGTTGGTGCAAATCACCACCATGATGATACTTAATTATTGGAGTAACACAACCCAGGAAATAAAATATGAATAACGGTGATGAGTAATGATCCTCCACCGACCATGTCCTCTTTATTTAAGAACCTTTTGCTTGGATATCACATCGGCTGAAATCAGACCTTTTGCTTGGTCTTGGTTTATTTTATTCCCCCCCCCCCCCCCCCCAAAAAATATCAAATAGCTAGGTAAATTGTTAATTATCTCCTTTACACCATGAAAGATGGAAAGACCGTGATAGGCTGGCTTTCTTGATGATCCAAAAGATGAAATAACACGGGAACATTTTCACTGTTAAATCAACAAATTAAGAAGGTGCACTAGAGACAAATAGCTATTGAATATTGACCAATTCATAAATGCTCTTGAAATAATAAATGCCAAAATTTTTTCTTCTAATAAAATTACAAGCAAACTATAACAAAGTAAAACAAACTAATTGCAACTCGACAATAATAGTATAAATTATCTCACAAATGACAGAATAAATGTTACTAAAAGTATATAGTTAGAAAACTTTCATTTAGACTGCAACTTGAATCGAGGACTGATAATTTGTGAGACCTCAATTTTGACCCTTCAACTAATAAAAAAATTAATTTAAAAAATTGACAAAATAAATTTGTGTTAAGAACGAAAACTAATTATTTGGTCTGCCCAATTAGAAACTTGATATTGCTAGCTTCATCATCATTTTCCTCGTTGCTTTCCTTCTCTTCTATTTCATGGCAGTCAAAATTCTCAAAAGGCCCTCAGAGAAAAACTCAAGATCTAGTAATTAGTATAACCAAATTTTTACAGCACTAGTTTGAAGTTTGAACGTTTTTCCTAAAATTGAACATGAGACTCAGTGGTAGCCATGCCAGTTTCATAAACTAATTATTATTCCTTAATTATCTGACAAATTAATGAACAATCCCCAAGCTATAGCATAGTATTGCTTATAGTTTAGAAACAAGTAGCTAACTCTAGAAGAAAGGGAATCACCAAGGCCGCCCCCACCCAAAAAAAAAAAAAAAAAAAAAAAGTAGGTTAAGATGATGCATGTTCAATGCTGAAATGGAAGTGATATCTTATTGCGGTTTAAAAGTGGTTGAGGGTATTCTTATTAATTTTGAACAGAAGTGCAAAAACTTGGATTAGTACATCCAGAAAAGGAAAAGAAAGTGGGGAAAAAACATCAAAGTGGGCTTCTGACGTTGCTAAAGAAATTAATCAGCACCAAAAGACAAATATTAATGCATGAATTAACAAGACTCAAATGGCCCCATATTACGATAGACTAATTGTTTGAGCCCTGAAATTTATTAAAACGCAAAAGAAGAAAATCGTCGCCCTAACCAAACTATTGAAAGGAAAATCCGGAATCAAACCCCAATTCAAGCCAACAGGCAAACGAAAAGAGACAAAAGGTTCAACCCCATTAACTTTTGCCTCTCAGTATAAAAATCATTCTGTCATTATATTACCGGGGATATTACAAAAACTGGGAAGAACTAAACTCATAAGTTGAACTGCAAAATTGGATCTAAACCAATAGTCCAACTAGATCCTGCCTGCCATGTGCTTTATTTCGTAAATATCACATGGTCCAAAAGGGCGTCCTAAATTTTTTTATCCTAAATTATCGAATCCAAAATACTTTTTTTTTTTTTTTTGCTTTTCGTAAGAGTAAAATATTCAAATATTACTTTCAATTTATTTTAGTCAAGCAGCAGATGATCAATTAAATAAGAGATTTGAAAGTAGAAGTTGTAAACTTCTTGGATATGCGTCTCTATGTATGTTTCAGGATATTTTCAGTGCTGGTGGCGAGACTTCATCAACAGCCATGGAGTGGGCAATTGGTGAAATGATTAAAAATCCGGAAATTACGAAAAGGGCACAACATGAGGTGAGAAGTATATACAATGACAAAGGGAATGTTGATGAATCACGCCTTCATGAGCTCAAATACTTGCATGCAATCATTAAAGAAACTCTGAGGCTTCACCCAAGTGCTCCACTATTGTTGACAAGAGAATGTGGTCAGCAATGCAAAATCAATGGTTATGACATACCAGCCAAGGTAGACATAATCGTTAATGCATGGGCAATTGGAAGAGATCCCAAATATTGGATTGAAGCAGAGAAATTTAATCCTTCGAGATTTCTTGATTCAGAAATTGATTACAAAGGGAATAATTTTGAGTACATCCCATTTGGTGCTGGAAGAAGGATTTGTCCCGGCATATCGACTCTGTTTGTATTAGCTGTTTTTGGAGGTGTTTTTTAAAAACTTTACTGTAGCTGTGTATATGAAAAACTTTTACTGTAAATGTTTTTTGGATTGTTTTTAGAGGTACTTTTAAAATATTATTTTGAATATTTTTATAATTTACAATTTTTTTGGGATTTCTTTTAACTATCTACTGCCTCTGTTTCTATATATTAATATTTATTTATTTATATATATAATAATTTTTATTTCAATTTTGTTTTATAATATATATAATAATATATATTTATATATATAATATAAATATAATTTATAAATATAATATGTATATAATACACATAATTAAAATATACAAATTGAAATATACATATTCATATATATTCATATTCATATTATAAAAAAAATTGAAATAAATATATCTATATATTTATATAAATATATATAAATAAATATATTTATATATTTATATAAATATATATAAATATATTTTAAACAAAATATTTATATTTATATATAATATATATAATATATATAATATACATATTAATATACATAATTGAAATGTACATATTAATATTAATATAATTTATATATATAATAGAATATACATAATGAATATACATAATTGAACTATACATATTAATATATATTAATATACACATTATAAAACAAAATTGAAATAAATATATTTATAAATTTATATAAATATATTAATAAATATATTTATATATTTATATAAATACATATATAATATATTTTAAAAAAAATATTTATATTTATATATAAATATATATTTATATATTTATTTCAATTGATATAATATATAATATACATATTAATATACGTAATTGAAATATACATATACATATTAATATAATTTATATATATAATATAATATACATAATTGAAATATACATATTAATATATATATTAATATACATATTATAAAACAAAATTGAAATATATTTATATAAATATATATATGTATTTATAAATATATATAAATATATTTAAACAAAATATTTATATTTATATATAAATATTTATTTATTTATTTCAATTGATATAATATATATAATATACATAATTGAAATATACACATTAATATATATTAATATACTTATTATAAAACAAAATTGAAATAAATAATATTGTATATATAAATAAATAAATATTAATATATATATTATAAAACGAAATTGAAATCGAAAAATTTGATTTCTATTTTCGATTTCAAAAACTTTACTACCGAATTCGAACCAAATTCACATAATTCGAAATCGAAAATTTCAAATTTTTTTTGTATATTTGGAGTTGTTTTTGATATATTGTTTGGATATGGTATTTTTGGAGTTGTTTTTGTTTGTGTATTACTGTAGTATTGTAGATGAAAAAATTGTTTTTCAAAAAATGCTGAATCCAAACAGAGCCTTCTCAAGAAGTGATTGAGTTGGCACTTGCACAGTTGTTGTTCCATTTTGATTGGAAGCTCCCTGGTGAACTTAAGCCACAAGAATTTGACATGGCTGAGAACCTAGGCTGGACAATCAGACCGAAAAATGATATCCAGTTTATTCCAATTCCTTAGGGTGGTTCTTGTTTGATAAAAGGATAACTAAACTGTCATTTCCAAAACATCTTTAATCTATCGTTATGGTAGTGAGGTAAATCAAATTATGTTGAACGATTTTTTAACAATTTGTTAATGAAACTTACTTTTTATCACCAAAAAAGGGGGATAATTTTAGAAACCTCCCCTAAGGTTTCCGATAATTTCTCTCAACTCCCTTGAGGTTTACATAATTACGGAGACCTCCCTTTGTATGATAAAAAGACAACAATATCCTTCATTAATCATCAACTCATTGAAAAACCTATCAACTATTAGAACTCTCTCATCTATTGTCAACCAATAATTTAAACTACGGTATTTTCCATTTAATTCTCTATCATCTTTCTCTTATGTTTGTTTTTCTTCCAAACTCATTTATTTTTTCTTATCAAACAACAAATGTTTTACTGTCACTACTAACAAAACCATCATATACACCAAACCACCAATGCTTGCCTATCTTGGTGTCTATTCTCAATTGTCTTTTTTTTATTACTATTAAATAGTTTCCTTGCGCCCATTTTTGTTTCCAATTTTTTATAGACATAGCAAATTGAAATTGTCAAATGACAAATTGAGTGATAATTTCATTATAACACTGGATGGAGATGAAGATAGTGCTAGTGATAAAAGAAATTAAAAATTAAGGATAGGAAGTGGAATATGGACTAAATATAGATTATACTGTTATAGTTGTTATGAAAAAAAGTGTTCCTAGTATTTTTATAACTGCATTGTATTTCTAATTTTGATTTACAATTATTGATGTTATTCCTATAGAGAGAATTTGATTGATTTTGAACTCTGTGCCAATGGAGTATATTGGATATTGATATTAGCAGCGATGGTTTAGATTATTTTATATAAAAAAGGTAGCAGCCATGGAATTGAAATTTAGCAATATTGATGAATATTGTTGTATATTAAGCAAAATATGATATTGATATAAGATTGTATGTAAACTTTTAGGTATCTGATGCGGTGTTTTATAGTTGATACAATGGTCTGCATCAAAAAGTTTTAGGTAAAAGAGGAATATTAGAACAAAGATAAGTGTTAATTTAGTGGTGATTTGGATGTTGATAGGTAGGTAATAGTGATATCAAGTAAAGATAAAAGAAATAGAGACCGTGAACCAATTTTTGCCTTTTTATTTTTGTTGTGAATTATAACTCAAGGGCATTATAGGATTTTTAAGAAAAAGTCATGACTTTTGGGCCTAGAATGTTACTTAAACAATAAAATAGGGGAGGTAGGTGTTATTTTTAGAATTTGAAGGGAGTTTTCTGCAATTGCCAATAACCTCAGGGGAGTTATATGAATTTATCCCAAAAAAAAAAGAAACGAAAAAGAGAAAGGATAATTAAACAACAGGAATGCCTAGTTAACGTTTATCATCCCACATGTGATACTTTAGAACTTGACCTTGATTATCGGCAAAAATGAAGATTAAGCTCAATAGAATATTTAAAAGTGGAGCTCATCTTCAACTCGTCATCCATCACAGTGGTGTCGAGCTTGAGATCCTTCACTATTTTTTCAATATTTTTGCTAATTTAGTCAATTCTGCCACAATTCTAATACAATAGGGGGGAAAAAAATCAAATCTTGCATTTAAATACTTTGACCCGTCACTTCTTAAAAATCCCAGTCCGTGAACTTGGGCCTAAGCACCATGTTCACATAGCACCAAACCACTCTTTATGTACCATAGTTCACAAAAAAAAAAAAAAAAAGCATGTAAGGGTATTCCTGGTAAAAAAGACATCACTAATTCACTGAATTGTATATTGTTTGGAGAGTTATGCAAAATTAATTAATTAAATCGTTCATTTTAGTTAAGTAGGGAAGAACTTTGACTTAAAAGGTTCCACATTCGATCGAATCTCCACATTCGCACTCCAATAAAATTTATCAATAAATAAAAGTGTCAAGTATTAGAACATATAACCTCAAAGAATTACTGAGCTACTATCAAATTAAAACCATAACAACGAAGCCCAAGAAATATTGATGAGGAAATTGACCCTAATACATGTGCAATCCTATAGAACAAGTTAAAATTACATATAGTAACTCCTCAATAATTAATTGGCTGTATAGAAGCATGAATAAAATTACTAGGTTCGAATGGCAAATTAATTGAATCAAACTCAAAACTAATTGCACATTACCTCATGATCATGAATGCCCTTGTTGAATTTCATTGTATATTCTCAAACTCTGTTGTAGTTAATGAGCAATAGATACAAAAAAGGAGCTTGTAAAGGGGAAAAATTGCAACCAACTACAAATTATTGGCTCAATTTTTATCTCCCTCTTGATAATGCCTTCTCAGCAGTGTCAACTTCTTCCAAGATTCTTTGCTTCCTCTTAGTAGGGATGGGTGCAGTCGGACCAAAGCTAATATAATGGCCAGAAACAGCATTGAGGGCCGAGTAAATATCCCTAAATGAAGACCGGCCTAATAGAGCCTTTTCCCTTCTATACTTTGCCACCCAAGTATTGGATGCTTCTCTCAAGTCAGCCACTGCAGTAGCTATATTGGGATCATTTTTGTCCATGGTGATGGTGGTTCTAACCTTGTTGATCACCTCATTTGTCTCCTTTACGTACTCTGCATCCTCAGTGGCCCATGCAGCTGGAGTACTACTCAAGGGAAGTATCAATGCAGGAGCGAAAATTCCGGCAGCCAATGATAAAAAATCACGGCGGCGATGGGTGGCAGCATTGGTGGTGGTGGTGGTGGTGGTGAGTTTGAATTTAATAGTAGGTGTTAGTAGGGGTTTTGGGGTGGAGGTGTTGGGAGTGATCAAGGTTGGGGAGGCCATTGGTTTGGTGGTGTTGTGACTTGTAGGGTGAGGAGAAAGAGTGTGTTAGTTTTTTGGAGGAAATTGAAATAGGGGTTTGATTTTAGGCCACGTTGCCTTATCACCTTATCTTGATGTTTAGTTTCTGGATGAGAAAGGATCCAATCAGATTTTGGATGATCTGAAGTGGCTTCCTTAGGTACATGGGATGCCCCAAAGGACTCTAATAAATTACTTGGTAGCTTGATAACTAATTGAAAAAAAAAAAATCAAAAACTAAATTGAGTTGATGGAATTTAATGCTTTGTACGTTTGACACGAACACGGTTAAATGGTAAAATTTGGATCAAGAATTTTTGACAATTTTACTCACAATCGACCGGGTATGGTATTTGATGTTTGAATTAGAGGTATAACTCTAAAAGCCTAAAAGGGCTAATAGATGCCAAACATGCTTGACGTTATAATGATTAGGATAACTATTTTAAATTAATCTTTTTTTACACTGATAGTTTTATTATTATATTATATGTTTGGACTTTGTTTCTTGCTGTAAAGTTGCAAGCAAGCTTGCCAAAAAAACAAAAAAAAAAAAAAAATTTTGCATGATGAAAGGAATTATCGTGTTGGTGCTTTCTTGTTTAGTTAAATGATGGATTTGAATAAGAAATAGTCATATGTCCTCAAGCATAATACTACTTGTTGTCATTTAATTGGACAATTGGGGCTATAAAAAAAAATCAAAACATAACTTGGAGGTTTGCTAACCTCCATTGTATGGTTGTGGGCACCATACAAAGAATCAAAGAAAGTGAACTTCAAACCTGTCAATGAGATCGATTCCTTCAACTTTCTATCTGGAGATTATGGGCCCAATTTCCACATTTTCAAGTCCATATATTTGTGTTTTAGTGTCACTATGTGCAACAGAGGCTCACATAAGTTGCAGTGCAGGCACCCAAAAGGAAAATGCTTTTGAGTGCATATGCTGAGTTCGATCTTAATCACGTTGATTATAGTTGAGTATTATAAGGTTTCTCGAGCTTAATTATGCACAACTAATTCACTCGATCTTAACTCAAGATTGATCACAATTGTCAACTTGCAATGGAGAAAATTAGACGTGAATATTAATGAACGAGTTCGAGGTCAACATGTTTAAACTCAATTAGTACTCAAGATTTTGCCTGAGCTTCAACTTGAGCTTTAGGTCCTGTTTGCTAATCCAATTCAGCACGTAAACTTAATCAATTCAGGTTTTAACATGTTTAGATGTGTTTGATAACAAAAATAGAACGTCTAAATTAATTAAATGACACAGAATTTTTTAAGCAGAACTTGTTCTAAAAAATATATGATAAATTATTTAGTTATCATTTAATGTGATATATTTAGTACTTAATAATTTATTACTTAACAATTCAAATGTATCAAATTTAATACTTAACAATTCAAAACTTGATAAATCCAGATTTCAATTTTATCTTAGTTAAAGTCGTAAAGGTGGTCTCGTAATTGTTTTATAATGCCTTGAAAGAAATACTTAATGAACTAATAATACATCAAACTCCTTTTTTTTTTTTTTGTCTGTGTGTTCTTTTTTCTTTTCGTGGTCGTGAATGACAAAGAAACTAGCCTAGGTGTCGTAAAGCCCATTACATCAAATGGACTAAAATTCCCTCAAATCCTCACATGGGCTTGCAAATGCAAGCACCTGTTCAACCAGATCCAAACTTAAACGTCTCTGTTCAAGGTAGTCCATACAATCATATATATATAATAAAGTCGTATTCTCATTCTTATCCCTTCATGTTTTCTCTTTCTCACGTGGCTTAACGAGACAGCATGTAGTTTCCTAATAGGATTCTTAATAAATCATATATATATATATATATATATATATATATATATATATATATATAATAAAGTCTTATTCTCATCCTTATCCTTTTAATTTATCTCTTTCCTACGTGGCTTATCGACATAGCAAATAGGTGCAACGCGCTCTATGAGTTAACCCCCTAATAATTTACGCTATTCTATCCCTCTTTTTTCTCTCGACTTTACAATTCTAGATAATCTTTCCATAATTATCTCTTCCATTCTCTCACCTTTTTTCCCTTAACCCTAATCATCAAGCCTAAATTTCTGGGAATTAGTATAAAT